TTATTTATTGGCTGAGTTTTGGGGCCAAACCAAAATATCCTCATATCAAAACAGCTACAGTAAAGTGGCTCTATTAAAATAGATCTGTCAGAACCAAGAGTCGAGATGTCACCTGCTTCTGGCACCTGACTTTGGTTGGTCCTCTTTAGCATGGCCTTGCCTTCTGTTCTGCTGTATTCTGGTGTGTGGCTCACCAGAAGAGGTGCTAGCACTAGGGCTGCTTTTTATTCTGCTGTTCCAAGCGAGGACAATGTAGGTGTCACAGATGAAACTTGTCCAGAAGCCAAACAGGACGCTAATGGCATGGCCACGTGCTTCCACCTCCCTGTGAGGCAGCCTGGCTGGCATCAGTCCTGTTTCCAACCTCCCTCCTGCCCCTCTCCACCCACGAGCTCTTGTTGGGTCAGAAATGCAATTCTTTGATGGTGCCAGACAGCCAGATGATGCTGGAAAGAAAAAAGAAAAAGCAGATTTCTAAATTAAGCACAAGGCTCGTTTATAAAAATAAATAGCCACAGCCTAGCAACGTGCTCACAGCTCAGCTTCCCTCAGTGATGAAACCTCTGTGGTTAGAGCCCGAGATGACACAGCCTTCAGAAGGCCCCACGCCCTGGGCCTTCCCCGTGCTCTGGCCCTTCCCCGTGTGTAGTACTCACCTGGAGAGTGCTGACAGTGGCACTTTGAGGGTCCCACTCTTCATGAAAGGCCAACCAAAGGCCAGGTTCCAAAGAGCAGAGGGGAAGCAGAGCTTTCCAAACTTAATGAGGCACATGAACACCAATAGACTCTTGGCAGTGACTAACGTACCTAAAGCAAAAGTGGGTGAAGTGCCTCAGGCTGCCCTATTAAACGGAAGTCCCTCCTTGAGACCATGTCTTCTGTGTTCACCCTTGAATGCCCGGTACCCAGGTTAGCACACGGCACACACCGCACCCTCCGTAACTGTGTGATGGAAGTATGAATGAATGAATGAATGAATGAATGANCTGGCCTTAGTCCTGTTGGGACACAAAAAGTATGTCTATAATGCCCTTGGAGCCTCAACAGGCTGAACGTTTCAGGAATGGGACACAGTACAGAAAATTTAATACTGCCACCAGTCCTCCCCAGTCATGAAATGATAAAATAAGCCCAGGATGATCCTGAGACAGCCCTCAGATCATTCTGAATCCCGTAGGAATCCTAGTGTGGTTGATGGGGACGATGTGGCTCCACCTTGACTTCTGGGAGCAGTNTGACTTCATTCTCAACTATTTCCTGACTCCCGATATTTCTCCCAGTTTGGACATCTACTAACCCTTTCCCTCACCTGTCTCCAATTCATACACCCTTTATCCCCAGAGGTAGAATCAACAATGCAGTGAAGGTCAGGGTTGGACCGAAGCTCACAGATGGAGTGTAAAATGCCTATTTTACTCATCGTTAATTTTTTTAATAGCTGAACACTTATTTATTGGCTGAGTTTTGGGGCCAAACCAAAATATCCTCATATCAAAACAGCTACAGTAAAGTGGCTCTATTAAAATAGATCTGTCAGAACCAAGAGTCGAGATGTCACCTGCTTCTGGCACCTGACTTTGGTTGGTCCTCTTTAGCATGGCCTTGCCTTCTGTTCTGCTGTATTCTGGTGTGTGGCTCACCAGAAGAGGTGCTAGCACTAGGGCTGCTTTTTATTCTGCTGTTCCAAGCGAGGACAATGTAGGTGTCACAGATGAAACTTGTCCAGAAGCCAAACAGGACGCTAATGGCATGGCCACGTGCTTCCACCTCCCTGTGAGGCAGCCTGGCTGGCATCAGTCCTGTTTCCAACCTCCTTCCTGCCCCTCTCCACCCACGAGCTCTTGTTGGGTCAGAAATGCAATTCTTTCGTAATAACTTCGTATAGCATACATTATACGAAGTTATACGATTCCCCTCCATACTGGCCAGAATGAATGAATGAATGAATGAATGAATGAATGAATGAATGAATGAATGAATGAATGAATGAATGAATGAATGAATGAATGAATGAATGAATGAATGAATGAATGAATGAATGAATGAATGAATGAATGAATGAATGAATGAATGAATGAATGAATGAATGAATGAATGAATGAATGAATGAATGAATGAATGAATGAATGAATGAATGAATGAATGAATGAATGAATGAATGAATGAATGAATGAATGAATGAATGAATGAATGAATGAATGAATGAATGAATGAATGAATGAATGAATGAATGAATGAATGAATGAATGAATGAATGAATGAATGAATGAATGAATGAATGAATGAATGAATGAATGAATGAATGAATGAATGAATGAATGAATGAATGAATGAATGAATGAATGAATGAATGAATGAATGAATGAATGAATGAATGAATGAATGAATGAATGAATGAATGAATGAATGAATGAATGAATGAATGAATGAATGAATGAATGAATGAATGAATGAATGAATGAATGAATGAATGAATGAATGAATGAATGAATGAATGAATGAATGAATGAATGAATGAATGAATGAATGAATGAATGAATGAATGAATGAATGAATGAATGAATGAATGAATGAATGAATGAATGAATGAATGAATGAATGAATGAATGAATGAATGAATGAATGAATGAATGAATGAATGAATGAATGAATGAATGAATGAATGAATGAATGAATGAATGAATGAATGAATGAATGAATGAATGAATGAATGAATGAATGAATGAATGAATGAATGAATGAATGAATGAATGAATGAATGAATGAATGAATGAATGAATGAATGAATGAATGAATGAATGAATGAATGAATGAATGAATGAATGAATGAATGAATGAATGAATGAATGAATGAATGAATGAATGAATGAATGAATGAATGAATGAATGAATGAATGAATGAATGAATGAATGAATGAATGAATGAATGAATGAATGAATGAATGAATGAATGAATGAATGAATGAATGAATGAATGAATGAATGAATGAATGAATGAATGAATGAGTGAATGCTGCCATCCCATCATCAATGCTTCCCAGACTCTCCACCTCAAATAGAGCGAGCTCCAGAATCCAAAGAGAGGCATTCTTCTCCTGATTATCACACGTATTGAAGAGGCCATGTTCCCTGGATTGCCTGTTTAAATCTGAGCCCACAGCTGAGTGAGCACCTGGAAGTGATTAGAGAGTGCGGGCTCTTACTGCCCCTGGTGCAGGTGGTGTTGCTGTCACAATGCGGAGGGGCAGAGGATGTGGATATGCAGTTGGTAATAATCGTTAGCATTCCTGAACCTTCTCTTGTTCTTTAGGCGGCAGCAGCTCCGAGAGTAAGGTGTTGCTAAACACAGAAGCTACAGGACAAAATAGCACATGAGCTTCTGGCCTTAGTCCTGTTGGGACACAAAAAGTATGTCTATAATGCCCTTGGAGCCTCAACAGACCGAACGTTTCAGGAATGGGACACAGTACAGAAAATTTAATACTGCCACCAGTCCTCCCCAGTCATGAAATGATAAAATAAGGCCAGGATGATCCTGAGACAGCCCTCAGATCATTCTGAATCCTGTAGGAATCCTAGTGTGGTTGATGGGGACGATGTGGCTCCACCTTGACTTCTGGGAGCAGTTGCTTCTGTGAGGTCCCAGATATTCCCTCATGATCAGAGAGTGGTCAAGGACAATGTGTCAAAGTCATAAATCACCATCTCAGAGAAACTGGCCCACAGCATCACTCAGAAATCTGTCTTTAGGCCTCCTTGTCTGGCCTGACCAGAAACAGTAAAAACACATCCATGTCAGTGAGAAAAAGGTTCTTAATTAAATTCAGATGTGCCAGAACATACTATAGGTCTATTTTTGGAATAATCTATACGAGACAAAAAATCCAAACAGCAGTAAAAATGCTATAATAATTTGGCTTCAGATAGCACACAACAGAAAAGCATGAGTCCTCACAGACTCCTAGACTATTTCAATCCCACAGCCTCCCAGAGCACCAAAGCCAGGGCACTGGAACATTTAGGAAGAGAGACTCCAGCAGTGACCTCATTAGGACACAGCCCCAGCAAAGGGTCCGCACACAGACTGGTCACTCTACCCCCAAATCTACAGTGGTCCTAAGGAAAGCCATCTGCAGAGCAGACCAACCACGGCATCTACAGCTGCAGGCCTCTGCTCCAGCCTGGTAAGGCACAGTGTGGTCCGCGCATCCCTAACACTGCACGCCCAGAGCTCTTGCTTCTGATGCAGCTGCTCAGTGATAAGACCCCACCCACCCACTGTCTCTATAGAGGCTACAGAGATTCACGAGAACAGAGTCCAAGACTGTATTACTCCATTTTTGTGTTGCTATAACAGAATACCTGAGACTGGGTAATTTATAAAGAACACAGTTTTATTTGGCTTATAATTCTGGGATAGCTGACCTGGCACGGGCCTCAGGCTGCTTCTACTCATGGCAGAAAAGCAGCAGGCAGCCAGCAGGTACAAGCAGATCACATGGTGAGAGGAAGCAAGAGAGAGAGAGAGAGAAGGTGCCAGGGTCCTATAAACAACCAGCTCTCGTGGGAACTAGTGAAGTGAGAAGAACTCACTCATGACTCCCCCCCAGGGCATTATCTATTCATGAGGGCTCTGCCCCCATAACCCAAATGCCCCCCAACATTGCCAAGTTGGGGATCAAATTTCCACATGAGTTTTGGGGGGACAACACATCCAAACTCTATCAAAGACTTAGCTCTGTGACCTCAACTACAGTGGAAACTCACTTTCCTTATTTGTAAAATGGGAGTGTAGAAACTTTCTGCCTCCCAAGATTGTGTGAGGATCAAATTAAAACACGTTAAGTTCAAGTGCTTCTGAATCGCAGACTGTTGTTCTAGGTGACAATGTTTTATACACTGTAAACGTATGCAGCGAGAAGTTTGCTTCTGATGTGAGCAGCGAGACTTCCTTTGTTGCAAACTTTTAGGTTCTCAGTGTTCTAGGGTTTGGTCCATCCTAGTTGTAATCCTAACTTTTTGCAGAGACCCCTGGCCAATTCCTTGGCTTTACATACCAAAGACTTCTAACACTTTTTAAATTGTGTTTCTGTAATTACTTCTCTCCTCTTACAATCCCTCAAAAAGTGCCAAAACTCTAGAACACGTGAGGGACATCAGGGCTCACACGGTGCACCCCTTCACTTTGCAGGTGGAAGCACAGAGGCACAGAAAGGTAGGCACCTGTCCACATTCACCTGTGGAGCTTTATTCACCCTGTCCTTGGTTTCTCCCACAGCCTGGTGGTGTCTGCCCTCCAATGAGCACCACAGTTCAGATTCCACTCTTCTGGAGCTAGGACATTCATCTTCTCCTGCCCTCGGACATCAGAGCTCCAGATTCTTGGGCCTTCAGACTGCAGGACTTATACCAGCAGTGCTCCAGTTTCTCAGGCCTTTGGACTGAGCTTACTGGAACTCAGACAGCTTTACACCACCAGCTCTCCTGGTTCTCCAGCTTGCAGACAGCATATTGTGGGACTTCTTGGCCTCCATAATTGTGTGAGCCAATTCCCAGAAGAATCTCCTTGTCTATATACCTATGTATCTATCTATCTACCTATCTATCTTATTGATTCTGTTTCTCTGGAGAACACTGACCAATACAGATTTTGGTGTTCCCTCCCCCATGACAGCTGCACTCCCCACTTTTGAGTGAGTAACTATTACGTAAGTGAGTTATATTACTTGGATGTGGGGGGTGGGGGAAGCAGGAGGATGGTACACAGTTGAGGGCAAGTGGTTATTAAAGAATGGCTGTTCCAGGAA